AACTATTTAATCAATTTACTCAACTGATAATTGTGCTTTTCATACTAAATCTTTATTATTTTGTGTTTTTATGTTTAGGCCCCATGGGATGTTTGAAAGTGATATTAAATACATTTTTTATTTAAATATTATTCACTAAAATATATTATTGGGACATATTTTTTAAATATTTAATAGATTCAAAAACATATTTTTTATATATTTAATATATTTTAAATATTATATAAAATTGACATTAATACACACTTGATATATATAAAATAGATTTTAAATATATTTATTCATATGTATTTAATATAAGTTTGTGCTACTAGGGATAGCGTAAAATGCCAACATATAAGGATTACCAACAGGGTGCAGCACTATTATTTCTTTTACATTTATGACAACAGCTAATTTGCAACCAAAAGGTGAGTGAGCGTAGCGAACGAACTTCAACCTGGAGGCGAGTTAGCGTAGCGAACGAGCTAACCCGAAGGCAAGTGAGCGCAGCGAACGAGCTCCAACCTAAAGGTGAGTGAGCGTAGCGAACGAGCTCCAACCCAAAGGTGAGTGAGCGTAGCGAACAAACTTCAACCTGGAGGCGAGTTAGCGTAGCGAACGAGCTAACCTGAAGGCAAGTGAGCGCAGCGAACGAGCTCCAACCTAAAGGTGAGTGAGCGTAGCGAACGAGCTCCAACCCAAAGGTGAGTGAGCGTAGCGAACGAACTTCAACCAGGACGTGATTGAGCGATGCGAACGAGATCATCTTGAAAATTAAACGTAACGGTACTTTCTTTCCATCGGTCTGTCTTAGGGGAAACCTATAACTTAGGCGATACGAAGTTCGCCGGGTCAGCTAGTATATATATATATATATATATATATATATATGAATTTGAACGGATGGTGTTTTTGGCCTCTAGGGACCTCAAAACGAAAAAAAAATTGGTCCCGGGTCCAGGTCTTACCGTGAGTACTACGGTAATAGCTTATTCCCTATATGGGAAATTTGCTTGCGCATTTTTGATATCGTTATTTCATTGTGTTTCACCAACTATTTAATTGTGCAAAAACAGTCTGGAAGTAGCATAAATTAATGAGTCGGTTCATTATAACCTAACCTTTACCTTCCTAATCTAACCTCACTTCAAAACACTTAATACAGTCACGAATCCGCATAAAACCCGACCTACCTTCCTCACATGCCTAAATAAGAACTGATTATTTGGTTTCAAAACGAATTGATTTCATTCCGCATTAAGTCTAGCATAAACAGATGTTTGCTCTCCTACTCACTCAGTCCACAGTCCACATACCGACCCATCCAGACCACGCCATATTACCATCAATATAGCTCAATGAACCATAGATTCGTAATTTTAACCTTCGTTTTACGGTCACTTATGAATCTCTCCGACAAAAACTGATTGCATTTTTTGATTCAGCGTGAAAAATACTGTAAGTAGACATCTAAAAATTACACGATATCGCATTGTTGATATATCAAATATTTGCCAAAGAATTAAATATAGACTCTCAGCCGTGCTGCGGTTACCATGGTTACCATAGGTTCCGGCGCACACCGCTGTAGTTTAAGTAGTGTGTACGCCGTAAATACATGGCGCTCCAAGCGGTGTGCGCCAGAAGCTATGGTAACCGCAGCACAGCTGACGGTCTATATTTAATTATTTTTGTCTATGCTACAAGCCACTAGTTTATAATCTTAAAGACGTTGTCTTTTGTTCTATATGTTGCTTTGTAATTTGTTTTAGATAAGGTTTTCCTTATTGCTTTATTTAATTTAGAGTTATGAGGGAGACATATGCATTCTTTTTTCAATTTCTCTTCTTTTTTCTTTTGTTTCTTAATTTTGTTCTTTATCATATTATCAATAAGATTGTCCTTATATCCATTTTCGGCTGCAATATATTTTATTATCTTCTTTTCTTTTTCAAAATTTGTTTTGCTTAGGGGCAATGTTATTAGTCTGTAAATCATGGAGTGGAATGCTGCCATTTTTTGCTGCCAAGGATGGTTTGATGATTTAGGTATTATTAATTTATAAGTGGTTGTTTTTCTAAAAATATCAAATGAGTGTTTTTTGTCAATTTTTGAGATTGTTAAGTCCAGATAATTGATTTTTTTCTTTTTGGGCATTTTTGGTAAACTTGATATTTTTAGATATAGAATTTATGTATGTTAGAAGTGTGTCACTCTCAGTTTCGGATCCTTCAAATAAGCAAATAACATCGTCAACGTACCTGAACCAATATCACATGGGTATATATTTTTTATATTTTTCATGGGGTTTGAATTGTTTATAATTTTGTTTGTTTCTAAATAATTCATATATAAATCTGCTAATAACTTAAGCCAGAAAGAGGGCTACCCATTTCAAGACCATCATTTTGTTTGTAATATTTGTTATTGTATTCAAAATAATTTTGTTCCAAAGTAATTTTTGTGAGATTGATGATGTCTTTTATTTCATTTTGTTTTAGAGATTTGTTTCTTAGTAACTCTTCTTGTATGATATTAATGGTTTCTTTGATTTGTATTTTTGAATACATGTTTACAATATCGAAGGAAATAAATGTTGAATTTTGTGGAATTTGTATATTTTTTATGTTGTTTACCAATTCATATGAGTTTTTGATTCCATAGTTATGTTTTAAATTTTATGTTATTTTTATTTTATCATTGAGAAATTTACTTACATTGTATGTTGGTGCCTTTCTGAAGTCGACAACTGGTCTTATAGGAATGTTTGTTTTGTGGGTTTTCGGTAGACCTTGGAGTGTAGGAGATTTTGGATTGTTAATTTTTATGCAAGTTTTAATTTGTTTTGGAATAGTTTTACATTTTGTGATAGCTTGGTTTAAGTTTTTTGAATAATCATTAGTTGGATCTTTTGTCAAGGTGTCAAAGTCATTATTTTGAATGAACTCGGTAATTTTGGAATCATAATCTTGTTTGTTAATGATAACTATTGAATTGCCTTTGTCTGCCTTTGTAATGATTACATTGTTTTCTACTAATTTGTTTGATATTGATGATATTGTCTTTAGTTCTTGTTTAGATCTGTTGATCATGTTCATTTTTGGAGTTTCTTTCTCTGTTTTATTAAGTTTGTGTATGAAGTTGTATCTCATTGGTTCTTGAAATTTCACTTGTGTTGTTCTATTTGCTGCTTCAATATCTAATAGATCATTTTCGTAGACATTATCTTTGAAATCTAGGTTTATATTGTATTTGAGTGATTTTTCTAGTAGGTTTGTTTCATGATTTGTAAAATTGATATTACTTAAGTTGTGAAATTCATTACTAAAATTTGTATCATAGGTTTATATATAGATATATAAACATTTGAACGAATGGTGTTTTTTGCCTCTGGGGACATCAAAATGAAAAAGTAAATCGGTCCCGGGCCTAGGTCTTACCATGAGACCTACGGTAATAGCTACTTCCCTATAGGGAAATTCGCTAAAAGAAATATACGCTTTTAATGTATTTTGTATCACTGATTAAATGAGCTTACTTCAACTATTTTAAATGTAATCTATTTTTGTATTTGAGAAAAATTTAATGATGCTAAATTAAATTTGTCTTTAAGTTTTTAACAATTTTTATGAGTTGGAGATTCGAAATAAGCACGAGCACTCCAAGAAGTAACACAAATCAGGTTTGTTTCTTACACTTCTTTCAATTTTTCAAATTTAGGCCTACAGTACTATTTTTGTATAAAATACATTATATCATTATATTAGCCTATCTTTATATTATACTATAATATATATTTACTATAATAGATATTTTACTATAATTGGTCCAAACGACTTCTGTGATCGGGGCAAAAAAGAACGATATTGTCCTTGGTGAAGACGAAATCATGAGCGTCCGTGTTTGGGGTCGTAATTTCAGTCTCCCACGGTCGCGCGGGTTATCTCCGAGACCGCGGAGCAATCGTAAACATGTCCCATGTTTACGGTGGAATAGTGAACATCTTTCGCGGACGCAGGGATAACTTATATTCTACATGCCGAAATCGTTAACATCTCCGGCGAACGCATGAACAACATTATCGTCCCCCGCAATCGCGGCGAAATCGTGAACACGGACATCTTTTGCGGTTGCGAGACCTTATTATCGTCACCCGCGATTGCTGGGAGTCATGATTTTCGATCGCGCAATCTTTGCAGACGCTTCCGGTGATTGTGAGAACAGATGATTATGTTCAACAGCAAAATTTCTTTTCCAATTTTTGAGACCCAAGTCCCTTCCTAGGCCAAGAGGCCCTGGGCAATGGCCGTGTTCGAAGTTGAGGGAATACGGGACTGATTTGGGGTTTGGGGGCCTATGTTCGAGTGGGGCCTGGGGCGGACCGCCCCTGCCGCCCCCCCCCCCCCCCCCCCGTCGGTACGCCACTGTATGTTCCACGTATTAAGCCATCTTGGAGGAAGTTTTGCTCTGGTTAATGTAGGTTATTTTAATTGTTAAAAAGAACCATCCAAAATTGAAAAAAATTTCAATTCGACATTCAGGAGAGTCTATCATCAAATTAATTTTTAAGAGTGTATTTTATAGCCACCTTTTTGATTTCCCTGTAATTTTTTAGTAAAACGTCATAAGCATGATTTAGATTTTATCCGCCAGATCAGAGAAATCTGAACAGCCGATATACACACTGAAGATTTAAGAACCCATAGGCTGACTAACTAGAGATATGTCCGTAGATGTACGCACATGTCGTAAGAGCGTCCACACGCTCTAAACCACAGACAAGAGATGTTCAGTTGTTGCAGACCAGATTTTGCTCAAACCTCACATCTTGCTCAAATCTGTGTTCTCATTTTACTGTGCACATCAGGTTTGTACAGCCATTTGCACAAAAAAATGTGAGCACGTGGACTGAGCTTTATGCAGGCATTTAGAAAACATCAGTGATAAATAATTTTTACAAAAACTACATGACTTTTATTTAAGTATAGGTTTTTAATAATGGTAATTTTTCATTGTAGAGATGGTCACCGATACAGGGGTTTGGAAAGCATATGTTGCCAACCGATCGCTATCGATGGTCAACCAAGGATGGTCTGACAGAACGTCGCCTAGACAAGATCAGACTGCCATCAATGGCTTGGCAGTGGGAGGGAGATTGGCACATTGAGACTACATTGGACGGCCAGCAGCTTGATGATGATGTAAACAAACATTTTATACAACAGCAGTTTTGATTTCTTATGTGATGTTGTATACAATATTTTTGATATAAGCCTAGGACTTAAAAGGTAAAGGTAAAAAGTCCGATAACTTGTCCACCTGACCTGTTAACTTTCACTCCAAGGCCATCTACCTTTTGGGACTCTTCCAAAAAACTGTAGGTCAGAGCTGACAGCTGAGATGGTGTTTAATTTACAGCAATGTCTCCTGGCCACTGAGATGATAACATAAAATTCTTAGCAACTTTCCTTGTCAAAGACAAATTTCTGCAAATATCTACTCCCGAAAACCCGGATACACCATAAAAAATACCGCAAAAAAGGTGTACCAAGCACAGTTTTAAGGTTATGTTCTTTCCACAATGCTTCACTGCAGTAATTTATTGTGATTCTATTCCTTTTCACTAAATCCAAGCCAAAACCCTACACTATACAACATTTGGAACAGTACCCACCACCGATAAAATAGTTGGATCTGAAAACAAATTATACTGGATTGAAGTATAAAACTGGCACAATAAGCGACAATTGAATACAACGTTCCCTGTTCGAGGCTGAGCTCACACTGAAGCACGGTTTTTTTCATGGGAAGAGGACGACAATTCATGTACCGCAAGGACATTTCATGTTCCTCGTCCCAGTGTACCGCAAGTCGAGATTTCCTGCCTTGCAGGCTTAACGTGGTAATGTTGTGTAAATAGCAACAGTATGAATGGCCCAGAAGGTGGGACAAGGGGCTGGACTCATCATCTTGTAGGGGATCTGGCTTCTTGAGAGGACCGTGGCCACGGAGAGATTGATTTATTCTTGTGTCAGCTTCTGATAGGTCAGGGCTACTTTAGAAATTATCTCCAATTGTTGGGGAAGGTTAGGTTACCCAGGTGCTTATACAATACTGTTCGGAGGAGGAAATAATATTTGTCGCACATTCTTTGAGTGCAGGCATGTTGCCGTACGGAGAAGATTGCTTGTCATCCATGGTGAGGACATTTACGCCAGATTCTGTTGTGGGTAAAATGCCTAAATGAAAGATCATGTGGGAAGCTGTAAATTGCTTTGTCAAAGAATTTCTTAAAATAAAGCAAGATCATGGTTTCTGTATGCAAGGTCCCTCAGTGTTCCTTTAAATGCGTGCATCAATGCAATCTTCTTATAAAAAAGGAGTAAAAGTTGATGCAATAACGGACCATACATGAGACTAATGTTGACAGGGATGGACTTATGCCGTTGACTTTCCTGCTACATATCACAGTACAAAGCAGTGGTCGTCTTGTGTGAGAAGGCGCAAGTGGGTGAGATACAGACGCTACGCAGCCATCAACTCCTGGTGTGCCATCGCTCCTCTACACAAGGACCCCACTCAGGTAAGTTATGCAGAAAGGTGCCTAGTTTGGCCTCTTATTTTTCACTTTTATTTGGGAAAGTATTGCTTGGGGAAATCATTAGTATTCATGCTCAACAGTTATCATCCAAATGGTCTGCATTAATCCATTTTAATATTTTAAAATAGTATAATCCTTTAAAATAACATATTGAAAATTTTTAATAGTGTTAGTGTTATGATAAGCCTTTCATTTGATTCTCTTTTTAAATTTGTTTAGTTTTTTAATAACCACCATGGCTTTACATAGAACATTTGAAATTGTTTAATTAATTATTAAATTAGCCTAATTTACATTTTTATAAAAATTAAATTGAACATGCCTCGAGACAATTTTTAGGAACTGTAAAACTCATTAGGGCCTACTTGTTTATTTTAGACTCAATTATCATACTTAAATCAGTACTGTAAGAGAGTGGTATAATAGTTTGTCTTTTTTATACTTTGTTACCTCTTCAGGAACCTTTTATTGATGTGAGCATAGGAGGAATAGTCTTGCCTGGGTGCTCTACAGGTTCCATGCAAGTCTGGGCTGTGACTGCTTATGGCAGAGTAAGTGTTTACTTATACTTTAACATCACATAATTATTAACATCTTTTAACATTGAAAGAATATGTTTATCGTTGAATTCTAAAGACCCGGTGTTAGTGTACACACTTTTAAACGAGTAGTGCTCCGACAGCGCAAGGCATTCAAAGGTACGAATTCACAGCCCAAACGAGTTAACATATCACATTTTTTTTTATTCCAACATACAGATAAATTTTCCCCAAAAACAAACAGCTATTTAAAAAATTTTTTAAATTATTAAATTTTAGGCCTACAATTTTTGTATAGAAACAAAATTTCAAAAAATTTCAATAAAAACAAAAGTCATAATTTTTTTTTTTTTAATTTACAATTTTAAATCGCTAGTGATTATTATCTTATTTTTCCACACCTGAATGCCAATTTTGGTGAGAATCTCATTTACCCATTCTCCCTGTGAACTGGTACCAAAGATGACAAATTTACTACTTTCAAGCTCCATATATTCAAATACAGCTGCCCTGAATATTCAAAATAAATAGTTTTGTCTTGTATATTTGTCTCATTTCTGCTACTGGTGCCAGTTTGTGTACCTCTGCCTTCCATCCTTTTGGTCACACAACCCCACAGACTACCGCCAAGTACTTTTTTTACGTCCAATATCAATTATAAAATACTTATTTATAAAAATATACTAAAAAATAGTACAGTAGGATCTCGTTAATCCGGCCCTATATGGGGATTAGTAGGGCCGGATTATAGAAAATGCCGGATTAGTGGAAATGCATCAGAAATTGAAGTGGTTTTACAATAAACATATTTGTCTCCTTAATTTTTAGTACAATTGAACAATAAAAAATACCCCCGCCGCAGCAAACCTGCAGACTAAGCGAATTTCCATTAACCTGATTGGATTTACACTAAAATGCCTCCATAAAAATAGCACATTTATTTCCTATTTAAATAGAATTAGTTTAACGAGTACTTAGGTTTGCTGTAACAGGGAGGGTAAAAAAGATTTTTTTTTATAAAATGATAATAGTTTAGTAAGAAATAAAAGTATTTTCCAAAATCGATCAAAATATGTACATAAAGAAGCAAACTACAACAGTTGACTTATCCTCCATAAGAATAACATGAGAATTTTAAAATAACAATTTTTTTGAATTTTCTCCGTAACAATTAGGCGCATAATAACGCTTCAATATACTCAATTATTTGTTTTTTTAAGCTCTACAAAATGGTTTAAAAATAAATTGTGAAATTTCGTGTTTTTATGGTCAAAAATGGGAAAAACCTATTTTTACCCCATAAAACCCCCCATAAACCCCCGTTCCCATAGTCCGATCATGCTGGTTCGCGAACTCATTAAAGTTTATCCCACCTTACACCTTCAAACCAAATTTTATCAGAATCGGACAAAAATTACTTAAGTTATCGTGCGGATGGACACATATATCTTACTAATATTATAAATGTGAAAGTTTGTGTGTTTGTTTGTTTGTTTGTTTGAAGTTCAATCACGCATTAACTACTGGACGGATTGGGCTGAAATTTTGCATGATGATACCTCATATTCCCGATTAACATATAGGCATATTCTTATCTCAAAAACCCTTTCGGGCTCCGCCCCAGTGGCTCTGTAGTTCCCCATGTTAACCTTATGAGTATTCATATTTAAAGGGAATTAAAGAATTTAGTCAGCTGTTTCAACTAAAAAAGTTGGTTCTATGATATGGAAAGTATTAAAAAGTTATGAGATTTACCAACAGGGTGCAGCACTATTATTTTTTTGCATTTATGAAAACAGCTTATTTGAACTAAGTAGCAACAAAAAACAGTGATTGGCAATGAGAACTAACTGTCAAAGTAGGATTGTTTACTGTTATGTTTATGTTTTAATTGCATGAATAATTTGTGATGTTTTGCAAAGTTTTAATTATTTATTTTTCTCTATTGTTTAGGTGCAGTGGTAGAACATTATGGCTATGGTAGATGTGTAATACTATAGTATAGCGTAAATTTTATTATAGTAAACAGTTTTGTTCAAATGTGTCCTACCCCATTGCAAAAGCTAAGTTAGAGTATAACACTGCAATAAACATTTTGCACTTATATGCCAACCCCGTACGAAGGACGGGTACTCAGCTAGTATATATATATATATATATATATATCTATATATAGATATATAAAAATTTGAACGAATGGTGTTTTTGGCCTCTAGGGACATCAAAATGAAAAAGTAAATTGGTCCCGGGCTTAGGTCTTACCATGAGACCTACGGTAATAGCTACTTCCCTATAGGGAAATTCGCTAATAGCTACTTCCCTATAGGGAAATTCGCTAAATAAGACATCAAATTTTTGACCAAACACCCTTTATCAAAATTTTTTTATTTCATGGTACAATACTCTTGTAAATCTTTTTCACCCAGTTTTGGATATAGTTTGAGTGTGGATTTTAAAAATAAGTTTTATTGTCTAAGAAATAATTTCTGAGAAGAATCTGAGTTGGATTCATGAGTTTCTACTATCTCAGTGTGATGTCTGTATGTGCAGGTGATGTACAGGTCTGGTGTGAGCCGACTGTCACCCGAGGGAGTGCGGTGGACTTCTGTCTCACTGCCTGCAGGCTGTGACATAGTCTCACTGAGCTGTGGCGCGACAGGACTTGTCTGGGCTGTCATGTTCAATGGCAGAGCACTCGTACGAGGTGGCATCACTGGCATCAGTCCTACTGGTAAATTAATCAAACAGAGCTATGCATCAACTATACATCACGTAAAACCATTAAAGTGCCAAATTTCTTTTTCAATTACATGAAATAGCCTTGAATTAACATGAAATCTGGTTAATATTTCCTGTTTCTATAATTTACTATGGCACACCCCAAAATGCTGAAAAAAAATTTGTTCTCACCCTAAAATGACGTCCCGGTGTCCAAAATGATGATTCCAGGTGTCCAGACATCCATCAAAACAGGAACTCGTGACGTCATTTCTGCTACTGGTGCCAGTTTGTGTACCTCTGCCTTCCATCCTTTTGGTCACACAACCCCACAGACTACCGCCAAGTAGTTTTTTTATGTCCAATATCAATTATAAAATACTTATTTATAAAAATATACTAAAAAATAGTACATTAGGATCTCGTTAATCCGGCCCTTATGGGGATTAGTAGGGCCGGATTATAGAAAATGCCGGATTTGTGGAAATGCATCAGAAATTGAAGTGGTTTTACAATAAACAACATTTTATTGCTTACGAAAACTATGATAACAATCATTTGAATTTCTGTACAGTATAGGCCTAATGAAATGTTTTTTAATGTATTATTGTGAAAAATAAACAGTGATATGAGACAGCAAACAACCGTACAGTACAATATCAGACAATGAACAAAGATAATCACTAAATACTGTATGTGTACAAAATGAAAATTACAGAACTTTAGGCCTACTGTACACTTTACATGTTAGACCTACTTAAACAACAGCAAAATAGTTTGTAATATTTTTCTGCTTCTTTGCATTAAAAGAAAGTTTTAAAACATTTTCCTGGAGCCTCTTTAATGTCATAATATCGGAAGCCGAAGCACCGTTTTCTTCCGCCCAAGTTATTGCAGTTGCGTAGGCACAGAGCGCCGAATCCGTGTTGACTGTGTGTGCAGCTGCAGCTGTCGATGTCGACGTACTGGCTCCGCCCACTCCGCCCTCCTCGTCCCCCTTCTCCACGTCACTGCCGTCTAGAACATCTTTGATGATCTCATCGTCTGTCATGATTTGACACTGCTCGTCGTCTGCTCCGTCTAACCAGGCGGTAACATCGGCTGATGTCAGATCTTCTGGATCGTCTACTAACTGTTCGGCTATTGCTTCTCTCAAGTCATTTAGCTCAGCATCTGTTGTCACTGTCGTTTGAGGATTTGATTGTCTTCTGTAATCCTCTAATAAATCAAGAGAAGGCCACAACTTCGCCCATGAACAAACAATAGTTTTTTTTCAAAGTTTTTCCCATGCGCTTGCAAGATTAAAAACAACATCTTTCAGCTTGGTTTCCTTCAGAGCTGTAACAACACTCCCCTCTTTTGACAAAACACTGTACAAAAGGGTTTTTTTGTAATTCGTTTTTATAGTTTGGATCACATTTTGGTCCATGGGCTGGAGTATCGGAGTTACATTTGGGGGCAAAAATAAAGCAGTGATTTTTCCATCCCTACTTTTTAACTCATCCTCATCTGGATGTCCAGGACAATTATCGAGCAACAAAAGGGCCTTTTGAGGCAGTTTTTGTGCTTTCAAAAACTTGTTTACTGATGGTACAAAAGTTTGATGGAACCATTCTGAAAAAAGAGTTTTTGTCATCCATCCTTTTGTCGAGTTTGTGTATGTAACTGGCATCTTGGTTTTTTTGAAAGCCCTTGGCTTTTTGGCTTTCCCAATAACAAGCAATTCTAATTTATGCGTGCCACTAGCATTACAACACGGCATAAAAGTTACTCTATCTTTGGCCAACTTGCGACCAGGGGCACTAGCTTCCTCTCCATGAACGAATGTTTGTTTCGGCAAAAGACGCCAAAACAGACCACTCTCGTCAGCATTGTAGATCTGATCTGGGCCTAAGTCCATTTCATCCACGATTTCTTTAAATTTTTCAATAAAAGGTTCTGCAGCCGCTACATCACACGAAAGCCTTTCACCAGTCATAGTTAGCAGTCAAATTCCAAAGCGTCGTTTGAATTTATCCAGCCACCCAACACTTGCACGGAAGTCGTCCTTTTTCATGATTTTGTTATAGAACAGTTTCGCCTTTTCCATTATAATATCACCTGAAATTGGCGTGTGTCGGCTCCTTTCTTGCATGAACCAATTATAAAGTGCGTCTTCTACTTGCGGAAATTCGCCTACTTTTAATGTCTTTCTTACCTTCGAAGATGATTCACTACTCCTCTTAAAGAATGATCCGATCTGCTCCTTCTTCTTCTTTATGTCGTGTATAGTTGCACGGCCGATATTGTATTCCTTAGACAGATGAGCCAACTTTTCACCCTTTTCCAAATGTTTTAAAATCTTATACTTTTTATCTAAAGTCAGCGTTACATGCTTACGTTTTTCCGACATCGCACTACACTTGTAGATTGTATAGTATATACACTGTACTCACAACACTGCCTTCACTCAACTTACACGCCACGCACTGTACGCAACTACTCGTAGCAGACGTCAGTCGTCAGTGTACTGCTGTTGTGAAATATGGACACTCGCGTTTTCAAGTCTAGACATGAAAATTTACTGAATAATCGGCGAAAACACAGTGCCGGATTACTGGACGTGCCGGTCTAATGAATGGCCGGATTATAGAGACTCTACTGTATACAAAATATTTACAACCTCTCCCCCGCCCACCCACGAACTGTTACCACAGTCTCACACGGTAAGTCCAATAGAAAATTTGTCACGTACGGAAACAAGATAAATATAAAATATATGTATAACTAGTAAATGAAAATACTAAACTAAATGTAAATCCCCTCCCGCCGCCATTTTTTTCTGTTACATAAGTCCATGATATTATCTTCTTGGTACTTGTCGAAGCACCGGACTTCACAAAGCCCAGGTTCGTTTTGGCATACGGCACAAATGTACACCGTTTGTTTTCGTTTTCCTTCTTTCGAACAGACACGGCAAACTTTGAGGACCCTGAGGCCACCAGACCTAAGTTTCTCATCTTTTGAGAGTCTATGAAGACTATTGCGTCTTGGTGTAAGCATTAGTGGGGCGGGCTGGTTTGGGGGGCAGAAGTTCTTCCAACAAACTTAGATGAAAATCATATAGGCTCAGTTTGTCAGCATTGTACATGTTATGTAAATAATATGCATTTAACATACATACTTGCAGTTAGTGGACAAACATCTTTTTGTGCCAATGAAGCGTTTTCCTTTCACAGGGGGTAATAGGACATCATTTGGTCTAAGCGATCGGTCCCCTTCATATGAGCATTATATTGCATCACAGGTTTTCGAACCATTCTTTCTTGCTTCCTCTTGTTGGTTGTTTCGACAATTTCATTGTCAAATTGTGATGAGGTGTACAAGACAGTGCGTTTGTCCTTCCACTTGGCCACCATGATACTTTCAGCATAATTCGCAATGGTTCCACTTTTTTCCAAATGGGCTGACTTTACTTACTCAGGTGTGTGCTTCCTATTACTACGCAAGGTGCCAGTCCAGTATGTTTGCCGACGTAGAAGTTTTGAGGATGATACAAAACTATTATAAAAGTTGTCCATGAACAACGTGTGGCCCTTACCCAGATAATCGGACATGAGTTTCATGACAACTTTGATAGTATGGCCTTTTCCTCCGCAAGGATCGTCTTTCCCGGTGTATACATGAAAGCGTAGCATAAGTCCCTCAGGTTCATTGAGAGAAAATATTTGTATGCCATACTTATGGCAATTCCCAATGATATATTGGCGAAAGACTACCCCGCCAATTCTCGTCAATTGTCAATTCACGATCAGGGTAGTAAATGTCTCTCATCTTGTTATTCAAATAATCAACCATAAGTCTAATTTTATATGTTCTATCATTAGAAGGTTCGGGGCATTCAGCTGTTGGGGGTTTAGAAAGTGCAAGCATCTCATGATGAGAAGGAATCTATCTTGGGACAGGACATGAGGTGACTGAAAGCTTTCATATTGAACAAATGATGTCTTTTCCAGTAGTCATTCAATCTATTCAATCGTATAGTACCGGTATGTAAAAGTAGTCCAATAAAAGTCATAAATTCATCCACATCGACTTCTTTCCAATTTGAGATTCGTGATTTTGGTTTTACTCTTGGGCCACAAAATACTTCTAAAGCTTACCGATTTATCTCAAATACTATTTTCTCCACAATAACAATATCGAACAATAATCTGAACCTGTCTATAGGTTTATTGTTATCTGGTAATTGTACACGTAGGCCAGGTTCACCTGTGAAAGGGATGTCACGAAGGCCTGCCATAGCATTGGGGACCGCTGACCACTGGGTGGGGGGGGGGGGGGGGGGGAACGCCATCTTGTTCATTGTCTGAGCTCTCTGAACTACACCCTGAATCAGCTTCACTATCAGAATATCAGAATGCCGGTATTTTAAACGGTCGTTGCTCGGAGACTATTCAAGGAAACTAAACGTTTTATACGTCAAATTGAAGTTAAAATAACCAAGTTTTGTTTCCCGTGTAGCAAGGGAGGAAACTTTGACCTTGCATGCGCAAAACAGGTGCGGGGTGGTGTCAATCAGACAATATCAGATGTCATCTATGACGAATTTCTGATAACAGACAAAAGACAACGAAATTGCTACAAAACTGAGAGCCGAACAAAAGCTTTTGGATCAAAACAATGTGCTTTTTAAGCCAGTTTGTTGTTTAGTGAGTAATATATAAAATACTGAGAGTCACCGACGCTTGGCAATTTATATGAGACTGAGATTTTATTTGCCAGTTAATATTCCATCCAAATACATTGGCACGTCAAATTAGTCATAACATAACATTAATTAAAATCCAGTGGAGTCAGTGTTCTTGACATATAATCTTCTATTGAGTAAAATGGCTGATTACAAAGAAAGTTATTTATTTTAATCTTGAAATCCTTATCACTAGGGGTCTGCGGGTCAGACTTTTTTGGTTCGGGTCGGGTCGGGTCGGGCCGATAATTTTGGTCCTCGGGTTTCGGGCCAAAATCGGGTCGGGCCAAAAATTATTAATTACCGGATTTTTTATATTTTTTTAACTCCTATCTGTGTTTTTAATATTACTTGAAAATAACATATGGGGAAAAATGTATTTATGTATATTATTTCATGTTCATAACTTATTTACAGCTTAGAAGTTGCCTCAACTGCAAGAAAGAAGAAAATAACTTTTTATATCAAGCCATTCTTTCCCATTTTCATAACTGTTGAAATATCTAAACAGCTATATTACAACAAGTTTGTAATGGAACTTAATATAAAAGGATCATAAACAAATCAATTAACCTTATCACAAGTTTAGGGCCTGTGGACTGGCTTCAAGACTGCAAGCAAGAAGAAAATAAAAATTCTATGTTTCCACCATGCAATATGAATCATTCATTCCCTGCCTCCTAACCTCCTAAGTACAAAAACCTCACACTTACAATAGCATTATTAGTTACATCATCATAAATAAAGAATTATCTATTATTGGCATTAGTAGGCCTACAGCTTTGCATAGGAATTATTTTTTATAGGGCCTAAAATAGTAATAGACTAAGCAACATGACAAGTGGAGAACTCATTGAAGAAAATATTTGTGTAAACTAATTTACTATAAAACTCTAAAACAGTAAAAATAGCACACATACATTGTTTATGGTATAGTTATAGTAAAGACTGTAAAAATTGCATATCATGTCATAGGTACACAGTTATAGATACACAGTTATAGGCACAGTTATAGGTATTGCAAGAGATCCTAAAACAACTGATTTTAGCTAATAAATGAAAAGAATTAAAAATCCATAAACTCAAGTCAAACAATATCACAATTATTAGGTACCCAAAAAGGAACTCTTAACACGTTGAGTGCGGGCATCATCAATAGATGATGTCCGACACTAGCACTGGTGGCGGACATCAGCTAAAGCTGACGTCATGCCACTCTCTCCACATTAGTTTAGTGTGAGCTCAGCCATTGCCGGGGAACGTTTTAATCGTTATCAGTCTGTAGCTTAGATTATAAGCTTTAGTCTGGTGTAGGTTGGTACTAAAATTTCCCGTAAAATCCCGTCTAGCAATACTTTTGTCCCGGTTCCGGCAATTTTCTCTTTTCAAGCCACTTTACAAAGACACTGGCTACGAATCCAGGCAGTGCTGCTACCTTTGGGTGTTTCAGTGAACTACGACCACTCTCGGGCTAACACAGCACAATCACCGCTGCTCTTTTTTTATTCGTCAGACTGAAATATTTGAATGCCAATCGCGTTCACCGATTCAGTTGCGCTGCGGGGCTTCGCCCGGGCCTCGCCGCCATTATCGAGCGCCTGTTTGAAGGTTTTCCGCACTGAACGTGTTAATATATAGAAAATTATATTAAATCAAGAGAAAAGAAAGTTAAATGCTAATTTGGCAACATAAGCAGACAGCAGAGACATTATAGTGCCCTAATTAGCAACACAACTCAATGTTTTTATACTGTAAGTCAATGTTTTTGAAACCGTAGGGTCTTTTTCTGGGAAGGAAGGGTAGTATAATGTAAACAAAAAACCATGAATCACTCTCACAGCCGGCCCGGGGACACTCAAGGTTACAGACCCTCCCCCTCCCCTCCCCTCCCCTCTTACACAACCCGAGCCAGGCCCGGGGACACTCAAGGTCATAGACCCTCCCCCTCCCCCGCCCCTATTACACCACCTGGTTGTTCCAATTGCTGACAAAATGCAAGTAACGAAACAAGGAAGTAGAGACAAAAAGATATATTTTCTTTATTCAAAAATATAAAACTGTTACAGATAATTTATAAAGAAATTAATTCATGGTAGTTTGTGTCTTGTAAATATTGTATTGGATCTTAGAAATATCTTTTTTGAAACTCTATCTAACCTAAGAAAAAAATAATTTTACTGATGAAAACTTTCATAAAATAAAATTATAAAATATTTAGGCCTAACCCTTTGTAGACTTGCTGATACTTGATACTTTAAAAAAAAATGAAATAGTGACCATACTATGCCTAACCAGACGATCAGATGTGTTGTTTTGTTTTGTTACTGAATGACAAAAAGGACAATAGGAAAATAAAAGAACAAGATACAGATCTGTACACTATATAAGATATTTCTTTTGTTTATAATTTATTATGTAAATAAAATACTAAAATATATTTTAAACAATAAATAATTAAAATGGGACCTCTGGATAAATAGTCTTTCTTTTGACTTCGTTTTCTTTGCACTGTTGAGTCACGGCTTTTGTTTTGTCAGTAGACGACTGGCTCTGGCTAGTGACAGTAAGGCAATTGCTCTGTTGTGTCTTTGTTCTTAAACGTGAGCAAACTTAATATTTAATTCTAATTTTAACATTTTAATTCCTCTGTAATAATATATAAGAGTGTTTCTTTGAAAATTACTTATTATAACTTTGAAAATAATAATAATTTTTTTGGCCCGACCCGATCTTGGCCCGAACAAATCTCTGACCCGACCCGGTCTCTCGGGCCTTCCGCTGGCCCGACCCGACCCGAAAAAATCGGGGACCCGCAGACCCCTACTTATCACTAAGTAATCTTATGGCTATTGGTAACTTGTTATAAAATTTACTGTTAAAAATTAATGGTTTTTTATCAGTCTTAGCTAGTCTAACATAAGGAAGGTTTATATTACATTTATGACGAGTATTATGGCAGTGTATATCTCTCCTATTCTATTTTATTCTATTCTATTAATTGCTTAATAAATAGAGAAAACAGTTTTAATATTTGGTATTCTTTAAAAAATTCAGTGCAATCATGGTGTCTATCTACAGCAGCTATTACCCTAATTGCCCTTTGCTGCAGATTGAAAATTTCTTTTGCATGAGCAGAAGACCCCCAAACAAGTAACCCATAGCTTAAATGGCTATGAAAAAGTCCATAGTATGCCTGTACGAGAGAAGGTCGTTCTAGTTCGCCACATAATTGTTTAAGTGCAAATATACTTGAACTCAGTTTATTTTTTAAAACTATAACATGGTCATGCCAGGTCAAAGTAGAATCAAAAGTTAATCCTAAAAATTTTGGATTTCTCTCATCCATTGGCGTACTGTGTACTTCACGCAGGTTAAACAAAACAGTTTTTGTCTTATCATTATTTAGAACAAGATTATTAGAAATTAACCATTTTTCAGCCAGCTTTTAATTATGCATAGAGTCGACCAAAAGTTGTTCATGATCTGCATGTCTAGTAAAGATGGTTGTGTCGTCAGCATATAAAACAATATTTGCAGGGATATTAACACTTAAGTCATTAACTACTACCAAAAACAACAGAGGCCCAAGCACAGATCCTTGGGGAACTCCACAAAATACAGGCTTAAGAGATGATGCATCATCTCCCAAAACTACATATTGTGTTCTATTTGACAAATAAGATCTAAATAAATCTAACACTTTACCTACCTTTAATGTCATAATATTCTAATTTTTTTTACCAAAATTTCATGGGATACTCGATCGAATGCTTTACTAAGATCACAGAATGTAATTACAGCAAAATCCTTATTTTCATAACAGTCGAGAATTTCAACAACCAAGGAAGTAATGGCAATCGTCGGCAATGTGTCGTTGAAAGTCCTTTACGAAATCCAAACTGTAAAATCCTATGTAAACAGTAAACACATTGTGTTGCCATGAGTGACGCTGCGACACTAAAAATGTTAACATGTGTAGAATTCTAAGGACATATTTGAGGGCACAGACTGCGTACTGGGCACAGAACAGTGTGTGGGCAGTGACTAGTAACCAGCGGGTGTGGTTCCACCAGGTTGACACTGATAGTATGTTTGTGGACAGGGTCACACTGGGTGGAGGTGGCTGCTCCAGAGGAAGGACTGAGGCTAGTCAGGGTCAGTGTGGGCACCAACAGTGTGTGGGCAGTGACTAGTGACCAGCGAGTGTGGTTCCACCAGGTTGACACTGATAGTATGTTTGTGGACAGGGTCACACTGGGTGGAGGTGGCTGCTCCAGAGGAAGGACTGAGGCTAGTCAGGGTCAGTGTGGGCACCAACAGTGTGTGGGCAGTGACTAGTGACCAGCGAGTGTGGTTCCACCAGGTTGACACTGATAGTATGTTTGTGGACAGGGTCACACTGGGTGGAGGTGGCTGCTCCAGAGGAAGGACTGAGGCTAGTCAGGGTCAGTGTGGGCACCAACAGTGTATGGGCAGTGACTAGTGACCAGCGAGTGTGGTTCCACCAGGTTGACACTGATAGTATGTTTGTGGACAGGGTCACACTGGGTGGAGGTGGCTGCTCCAGAGGAAGGACTGAGGCTAGTCAGGGTCAGTGTGGGCACCAACAGTGTATGGGCAGTGACTAGTGACCAGCGAGTGTGGTTCCACCAGGTTGACACTGATAGTATGTTTGTGGACAGGGTCACACTGGGTGGAGGTGGCTGCTCCAGAGGAAGGACTGAGGCTAGTCAGGGTCAGTGTGGGCACCAACAGTGTATGGGCAGTGACTAGTGACCAGCGAGTGTGGTTCCACCAGGTTGACACTGATAGTATGTTTGTGGACAGGGTCACACTGGGTGGAGGTGGCTGCTCCAGAGGAAGGACTGAGGCTAGTCAGGGTCAGTGTGGGCACCAACAGTGTGTGGGCAGTGACTAGTGACCAGCGAGTGTGGTTTCGAAAGGGTGTCAAGGGCAGCACGGCCGAGGGAGGGACTAGTGATGAGCTGGTGAGAGGCTCGGGCTGGGTCGAGATGGTTGGTGAAATGGCCATGGTCTCAGTTGCCACCAATGATCAGGCAAGTTAAATATTTGGTTTTTATTTGTGTGTGATATATTTTACAGATTTAGTTTTTGTTTGATTGAATGTTGAAAATTGTCTAGTTAATTTGTAAATTAGTGTATAGTCTATAAGCTTAGGAGTTATTTCTCAAACCTCAAGGCAAATAGGTGCTTGAAGCCAAATAATCATTGTTTTGTTATGATCTCCTTACCTCTGAAACACTGTTGGTAATGTCTAGGTATTTGGGGTGGGAGCTGAGGATCGCACTGTGTACTACCGTGCCGGGGTATCAGCTGCAGAATTGACAGGTAGGCGTTGGAGGCCTCTACATGCCATCACTCAGTACAGCCGATCTAGCAGTCTTGCCAGCAGTCAGTGGTCTGTCAATGGGAAGCAACACAGTGCCTCCTCCCTGGTAAGTTCAATACTGCTAATCTGAAGCAAACTGTCGCAACAATATGCGGCACACTTTTCCTGCACTCAGGGTGGCTAGTGACCTGGAATACCTGGAAAACCTGGAAATGTCAGGGAATATTAAATATCTGGGGGAATTTTGTCATAAGTCAGGGAAAATTGTAAAAGATTTAAAATAACTTTAATAATTGTTAGGAAAGGTCGATCTGGTGACAGTACGTTTGCCGTGTGGGTGGAAACTAAGAAATATGTCTGTATAAATAAATTTTGTGTTTTTGTACAATTTAAATTTTGCTTAAAACTGCGTATCATCTTATCAAACCAAGTTTAATTTTATTAAGGTAAGTTGCAAAGTTTGAATATAAGCTTGCCTGTGTCTATAGATTTTATGTAAGTTTTTCATATAAACAAACATAAGATATTCTTCACATAAAGATTAGTCCTTTTGAAGAATTAGTTAGTATTAAAATTGTAATTTTGAATTTTGAAATTTTAAAAAAATGCACTGGAAAAAAATATTGCAAGTGCATTAGGAAAGGTTTGCTGAGCTAGCTCAGCCTACAATGGCTGGGTACAGTTCCAAGGTCTGCGATAAGGAAACCACTATGCCAAAAGCCGGGTCTAACCGGTATAGGACTGGCTCATACACGGGCACTGTAAACAAGTTGTTGAAACAAGTCACCAAAACAAACGTGCAAGAATCAACACCAGGCCTACGCAGATTCTCCACTCTCCTAGGGGGTCGTTGCTGACTACGCAACTCGGGCTTCATCCTAACTAATCAATAGTCAAGCCCAGAGTGCCTAAAACAATGTGAGTTACTTGACGACTTGCCAATAAAAACCACAACGCGAGTTATCACCAGGCGGGTTCTACTCGGCCACTATAATCAAATACACAACTCTAATGCCCAAGCTAACAATCAAACAGTTCACTCAATAATGATAATATAATATATATATTGTATTATCACGTTTATTGTCATAAAACATTTCACATTTCCAGCAAAGCTGGTGAAACAGATGTCATTGTCAATTCTTCAGCTAACAAACATAAAAATGTCACTTTTTTAAAAACATTCATTTAAATACTCTTCTACCCTATATATTTCTTTTTTATAAGAAATGTTTTGAATTATTCCTTTAAACCATTTGCACCGTTTTATTTATTTACCAATAATCCCAGTATCACTGAAACATTAAAAATAGAAAAATATGCATTTGACTATTTTTTATGATTATTTATAGTATTTTATAGCTGAAAATATTAAATAATAATAACATTTATATTTTTACATTAATTTGAATTTGTTATGTATATTTTTATATGTATTTAGGATTAGGATATGTTTACACTATTTTTTATATATTTCTAAAAAAAATAGGTACATTATACCTGCCTGAAAAAATATTAGACAATTTTTTATTTAGTTTTATAGTATTTTATAGCTGAAAATGATATAAAACACATAATGTATATATATAATTATATATTTTATATGTATTTGTATTTAGGACACGTTTTCACTATTTTTCATACTTTTCATAACAGTAGTTTAATATCAGCCTGTATTACATAAATATGAAATCATTCAAGGAACATAATATTTTGATGAACAAATTTAAATATTATATGTATATATTGAAAGTATAAATGTTTCATTTTTTGAAAAAACAAAATTTTCAAATTTTATGGATGATGTACCAGTACGTCAGCCGTGATACTGTACATGACTGACTTGACGTACTATTGATATCTTTAAAATGAGCAGGTAGACCGTAGTAAAGCCTCAGACTCATAGTACAGCGATCTTTCGTAAAGGTATAGTCGATGTCTTGGATACTGCAAATTATTTTTTGAACAAGTTGGGTATTGATGAATAAATTTATTGTTTATAAATAATTGTGGATTACTCTTGAAGTATACCAGAATATTATAAATGTAAAGTGAAGGCATTGTTAAAATTCCATATGTTTCATAAAGCGGTTTACATGATTTTTTTGTGTGTAAATGATAATATTCTTAAAAACTTCTTTTGTATCTTAAAAATAGTTTAGGCATATGATGTTGAGCCCTTGAACTCAATACCATATTGTACAATGGAAAAAAATATGGCTATAAATAAGCTGATACCATATAATAATACAAGTATACTATAGGCAGAGTGACTAAACCTCTAGTAGCTGGTCTCAATAAATACCAAGCCAAAGAAACAAAACTAAATGCAAATTGCTCTACTATTAAATTATTGAGCTACTTAGTAGCAGTGAAATAAATATAAAATACTTTCCAAACACTAAATAAATGTATCTGATAGCCGGTACTACGATATCCAAGCTATCAAGATAACGGGTTGGATCAACAAACAAGCTGTTCAGGTAAATTAAAATCATAAAATGATTAACCAATAAAAACACTACTACTACTACTGCTGCTGCTACTATCAACGTTATATTTAGTTTTTTTTTGTCCGTACTCTTGTACGGTGCGGAGGTCTGGACAGACCTTTCAATAAGGAGGTATATAGGATGCGGCTCGCCCGAGTGCAGCGTCAGGCAGCACTAAGAGTAGCATGCGCCTAATGAACAGTGTCTGAACCCGCCGTCCTGGTGGTTGCTGGAGTCATCCCCATCAAATTTTTGGCGGTGGAGAGAAAGGCAATTTATCAGCGCCGTGGGGAGGACCAGGCACGAACAAAGGAACGCACCCGCACCTACCAGCTGTGGCAGGAGAGCTGGGAACTGGAGACATGGGGACGCTGGACCAAGCGACTGATACAGCAAGTCCAACTTTGGGTTAAACGGCAGTGTGGAGAGGTGGACTTCTACCTCACCCAATATGATGGGTCATGGCTTTTTCCGGTCGTACCTGTTCAGGATGGGCAAAGCCTTGTCACCTGATTGCATATACTGCCCAGGCATTCCACTATAAACTGTAGGTCCCTTAGTTGCCATTAGCTATATGGGCTATTAATTAACAGCTGTGTCTAAGGAATGTCAGCCTTAGTCACTAACAAGACTACAAGATCGCGCCACTCATCCTACACTCATCTCCATTCATACTTGGCTTAAAATACAGCCTTTGTATGGTCGCCATTTCATTGAACAGTATTGAACAGTATTCCCGATGACATGGAACATACCTTTGTCCACTGCCAGCGTTAGGAAAGGCCCCGCCTGGAGGCTCAACTGGCTAGGAGTAGGACTGCTGTCGGTGGACACGGTCATACCAATGATGACGGGTGAGGACAATTGGACCTGTGTGTCACATTACATCCAGGGTATTCTCCGCGCCAAGAAGCTTGACCTTGACCGGGATGCAGTGTAGATCATAAAGAATTTAAATGCCAGAAACGGTGCGAGCCATGAGAGCTTAGGTCACATGTTGGCCTGACTTCCAATTTGTGACAAACAATTCCAGATCTGTGTCCAACAGAGTAGAGGGTTTTTTTTTAATGAGTAGTCTGTGATAAATTCAGGAGTCTTACACTACAGTCTGGCTATCTGTGCGCGTAAAAGCATTTTCCCCCCTCTCCCTAAAAAAAAAAAAAAAAAAAAAAACTATCAACGTTATAATAGTTATCTGGGCTTCTGTTAATAGGCTAATAAAATATCTAGAAGACTACTGGCAACTTGCGGTCGACAACGCACGCCGAATACTGTAGCTTAGGTTTGTCTGGCCTCAGAGTTACCGGTAAAATACTAGGGATGGACGAGATTGTATTTTTAGTTCGAGACGAGACGAGACAAGATTTTTTATTTCTCATAAAATTTTGAGACGAGATCTAGACGGGATTTCCCTTCTCATAATGGTAATGCACGTTCGTCATTTTTACCTGATTTTGTAATATTGTTAGATGACTGTTTAAGTACAAAAATAATAATAATAGGCAAGAATATTTAAAATCTTTTTTTTTTTTACACCAGCAAAAAAATTTTAATTAATTATGCCTAACTTTTTAAAAATGCTTACGATTAGGAAACATGGTGCCATCAGTTAGGCTAGAGTTAAACTTATTGTAAAATAAAATAAATCATAAAATAAAAGCAATATTAATTTGTATCAAATAGTTACTTGTTTTGGCTTTTTTTGTAGTAGTAAAACATGCCTCACTCTGCTTACTTCTCAACTGATAAAATAATTAAATTAATATTTACATGTAAAGAAATAATTAAATAAGAACGCCTTCGCAAAGGAAACGCAACTACAACACGCTCCTGTATTGCGGGTATTGCATTGACTTTCTGCAGGAGTTTTTTTTTTATTTTATTTTTATTCTCCTCTTGAAAAATCTCGATTAAACGAAATCTCGTCTCGTATAACGAGATTTAAAATTACCCGAGATTTCGAGACCATGAATTATACCTGATTTCATGAGCCGATCCGTTCACTATCCCACTAGTTCACTATGTGTCCAGGGGTAGGGTGATGGGAATTAAGCAGGAAGAACGCCAAACGGGGAAATTCCATTCAGTCCTAATGTTGCACCCTCGGGAAATGCCTTATGACTGCCCCAGGGGGCTCTGGCTGGCCCAGGTCAGACTAGTCCTGTTGTCGCTTTGCCAATTTCACCAGGATCTGAGCAGTAGGTACAAACTTTGTCCACGGATTACGACAAGTTTCTTTGACCTAGTAATTACAAATTGGAGTATATGTTAATTTGGAAAACACACAGCTGCACCTTCCATCAGAGCAAGGATATTCTTTTGTACTATCTCAACGTGCTATTTGAAGTATCTCTGGTGGGGCCAGATTAATTCTGCTTGGTATAGTTACAGGAATCGGGCTTTTATTGGCAAAGTCTTCTATCCAGCCAAATGCTTTTTCCAGCTGTTGTGGTTGATTTTCTTCAAACGAAGATTTCTTCAGACACACTTGAAAATGTGCCCGTTTCACATGTTCGGCAAATGCCTCAGTGGTAGGCAGTAAGGTGCAGAGTTTCACGGCCTTTTTCTTCTGTACCTTAGCCAAATTCTGTACCTTATATTGGACATACTTCCA